GCAAGCAAGCAAGCAAGCAAGCAAGCAAGCTGGGTGGAGGAGACTCTCTCTTTTTTCTCAAAATCAAAAAAATCCGCCTTTTTGGAAGGGGTCCAAGGCGCCAAAAATTCTGGCCGAAGTGCGGCTGCCGAAGTGCGGCTGCAGCTTTGGCGCCACCTTTTTAGGGAAATTTTTGAGGGAATTGCAAGTGCTTATGTAAGCATCGGCCTCGCCGCTTTGACTTTCTTCTTGCTTGTTGTGCCTCCCTTGCTCGACTGCGCCTCTGCCTTCTCCACCTTCACCAGCGTCCACAGCCTGGATGCGAACGGCAGCAAGAGCCTAGATCGCCTCTTCATTGGGTACATCTGCATCGGCGGCCACCATGCGCATCCTCAAGGCGCGCTCGGCGCTGTTGAGCGACTTTGAGGTGCTGCACGTACTCAAGGAGATGGAGAGCGAGCAAAAGGCGCGCGTCAAGCCCTCTGCGCAGACCCAGGAGGGCGAGCCGAAGACCAAAGCGGAAGGCGATCAGCCCGCTCAAGGTGATGAGGACGACGTATGGCTCTCCAATGTGCCCGAAAACCTGCGCACCATCCAGTACGAGACCATCTCGTCGCTCAGCCAGACGTCGCGCCCCTGCGCGCATCAGCAGGCCGAGGCCATCGCCGCATTCCTCGACGAGCTCAAGACGCGCGGCTACTCGATCAACGACTCCGAGTCCAAGCGCGGCGCCCTCGGCCTCAACCGCTCCGAGCGCCTCCAGATCGTCAACCACGCACCGCAGAGCGTCGTTGAGCTTCACACGCTCGTCGAGGAGCTCGAGGAACGATTCCATGCACATCAGATCGAAGACCTCATCTCGCTCGTACAGACCTACCTGCCTTTCCGCTCCGACGTCAATGCTCTCGCGGCCGAAGGAGCACAGGACGATCCGGATGCGATCGCAGCAGCGCACATGGACGCGGATGCACACGCCACCGCCGGTCAGATCAGTCAGTTCACCGGTCAGGTGGCTGCAGGCGCGGATCTGGGCGATCCACGGGGTAGCGGATTGGCCCAGGTTCCCGAGCCGGACGAGGAAAGGCAGGTGGCCGACGTCGAGTACGAGGAGGACCCAGACGTCGAGATGGACGAAGACGATTTCGTCCACGAAGGTCTCGGCGGAGGAGGCGTAGAGGAAGCCGACCCAGACGACTAGCACGCAGCTCAGAATCGTGTATTTGTACCTGCTTCAAGGCCAATGTGCATTCAAAGGATACCCCCGACCTACTACCAGATGCGCGCAGGTGCGTCTCTACTCGTCGGTCATTTCTTCGCTCTGTTGTTGAACGAAAGGCAAAGATGCGGTCAGCAGCGTCGTTGGTGTGAATGCTGCGTCGGATCCGGAGAGACTCACCTTGAACTCGGCATCCTCTTCGTCGGGCTCAGCCGCGCCGGCACCGGAATCGAGGCCGGCTTGCTTGAGCGCCTCTTCCGACGTGTAGTCGAGCGGTGCGTTGCGTCGGCGCCCCGTGTAGACGATGTTCGAAGGGTCGATTTCGGCGAGCTCCTCCTCGTCCTCGATCAGTTCGGCCAGCTGAGCAAAGCAACGGTGCAAAGTTAGTAGCCTTGATCGCACGCGCATGTTGTTCTGCTGCACTCACTTCGTCGTCGTCGATGTTGAAGTCCTCGTCTTCCTCTTCGTCATCTTCGTTGTCGTCGTCGTCGTCGTCTTCCTCTTCGTCGTGGTCTGGAGCATCAAACAGTCAGTCATGAGTTGCGAGTTTGGTAGTTGAGGTTGTGAGGTGCTCACCTGGCTCCACGGCCCTCGCCTTGCCCTTGCCCTTGTCCACCGAGGTGGGCTGGTGGTACTCGTCCGAGCCCTCTGTGGCAGCGGCGTTGGTGATGTTGCTGAACATATATTGAAGCGAGTGTCAGCATGGTCAAAAGCATATGTAGCACTGTGTCAGCATGTGGACTCACTTGATGTCGCTCATGATGGTGCTTGGATGCTGGTTGGTGGTGAAGAAGTCGGGGTTGGGGAGCTTCGAGGGGCATCTGATCGAGGCAGTCCAGGGTCCTCTTTTTCGAGCTGCTGCGCTTTCTTTTCCAGGACGCGACGCGAGCCGGCTCCAACCAACACCGGCGCACTGCTGGGCTCGAGTGCCGAAATGAGTATTAAATATTGATAAAAAATGTGGAGTGTTGGTCTCTCTCTCTC